GTGGGCGACCAATTTCTAGCGAGCTCAGAGCCCATCTCTCTGGAGGACACACTGATGCCCACAGGGAATGCCCCTGGTTTGCTGGAGAGAAAGAGAGACCTTTGGGGATTCCGGCCTGTGGGGCTGGAGGTGGCTTCCGATTTTGTCCCAGGGAATGTGGGACAGGCTGGGCCTGCTGCTGCTGTGCGAAATAGCCTGGGGTCTCTTGGCAACTGTAACCGAGTGGGGATTTTCCTGGAAGGTACCAGTCAGAGAGAGCGAGATCTTTCAGTCGGCTGTAGTAGGTAAGAAAGGCCGGAAGGCCTGCCTAGGAAGAAGGGACAAGCTGAAGGTGTCTCCTAGCAGGAGACCTGCGTGGCTTTCAGAGGCAGAAGGGAGGATTAATTATAAAACAATAAAGTAAAAGGATTATTCGGTTGTAAAATCTATCACCGTTAATAAAAACTATTACAATTTGACTTCTGCCTCATTTCATCTGTGTGAAGAGATAAATGACCTATTGTTAGTAGCCTTCTAATTTTTAAAAAAAAAAAATTTTTTTTTTTGGCAGAACTGGGGATTGAACTCAGGCCCTTGGGCTTGCCAGGCAAGTGCTTATTCTACTGAGCTATCTCCCAAGCCCATAATTATCCCTTTTTTGTTTGTTTGTATTTTGAGACAAAGTCTCCCTTCAGTAGCCCAGGCTGGCCTCAAACAAGCCGCCTCATATCTGCCTCAGCCTTTTGAATGCTGGGGATTACAGATGTGTGCCACCATGCTGGATTAGCCTCTGGTCTTGACCTGTCTGATCTTTCTAAAAACATAAATGCTCAAACACACCCCACAAATGACTTGAGGTGACCAGAGTCAGTTGGAGCAATCTCAGAACTTTCAACCCTGTTGCCTCTGAATCTTCGGTTGTGCTTCAAGGTACCAGGAATTTCCAGCTCACCTGCTACTGCTGCCCTGAGGATCTCAACCCTCTGTCCTCACTGGACTCATGGGGTTCTCGTGTTCACTATGCCAGAGAACTCTCTGCTAGGGAGAACTTTTTCCCTACTCGTTCTTCAGAACTCTGAAAATCTCCTCTCTGTGGATTGAACCCAGGGCCTTTGCACAGTAATATCCTGAGTCCTTCATTAACTTTACATTTTGAGACAGGGTCCTGCTGGATCACAAAATTGCCCAGACTGGACTGGAACTTTTTTTTTTTTTTTAAGTTGTAGTTGGTTGTTGCAGGGTCTCACTATGCAGCTTGGACCTGTGGTGATCCTCCTGCTTTCGGCCTCCCCAGCAGTGGGATTACAGGTGTGCGCCACCATGCCTGGACTCTAGCTGGCTCAGCACACCCTGAGGGTGGGGCTGGCACAGCATGTGGTGCCGGGCATTGAACCATGGTCCCTGTGCTTGCCTAAGCTTGCCTAAGCATGCGCTTTAGTTCACTGAGCTATCTCACCGGTCCCCTGGCCTGGAACTCTTGACCCTTCTGCTTAGCCTCCCAGTATGTTCGTATTACATACAGATAGGCAATTTAGGTAGAAGACAGCAGATAGGTGGAGAGGCAGCAGGCCCCGAGATAGGGTCAGGGTTAGATACTCAGGAGCCTGAGGTCGAGAGTTAACAAGAATGAGATGGGCAATTAAGTCTAGTGCTGCAACAAGAAGGTAACAGGCAGGGTGATGGTGACCACTGTGCCAATTTCTGCTGCTATCTGAAAAATGGTTCTTCCCTCTCTTTGTTCTTTTAATCAAACAGGTGGGATAGAGGCCAAGAGACAGCTGCAGACAGGCACCTTCTTTGAACCTCAATGGCTCATGGGTCAATTTCTTTTTTCTTTTTTTGGTGGAACTGGGGATTGAACTCAGGCCTTTGCGCTTGCCAGGGAAGCTCTTATTCTACTAAGCCATCTCCCCAG